TCTGAGGAACCGACAGAGACGGGCCACACACAGCGGGAAGCCAAGCACGTTAGATTTACTAGGGTAATATCTGCAGGTGAGATAACAGCATGTACATACAGAAATCCACAGGCAGAGATACCACCCCGGCAACACAGTCAGACACCAAAGCAGCAAAAGGGCTCAGGAAGAGGCTTTGGAAAGTTCTCCTGAAAATCAAAGGGCAGCTTTGGTGCTCAGAGATTCAAACAGAAAACTATACAAAACCAACCCATAAATATATATATCATATATGTGTATATATATAAAATTGCAAAATAAAAGCCCAAGGAACTAACCATCAATCTACACGTCAGTGGCTCAAAAAGTATTAGCATAGAGAAAGGCAAAACCATTTGTGGGGGTGACGCATAATCCAGGGGGCGGCATTTCAGTTGCAGAAAGAGTATTTACATGGAACCCCTATTCGAAACCTCACAATACTAGGAAAAGCCAAACACGGACAGTGTATGTACAGGGGAAGACAGTAAGTAGTACTCTCGCAGGACGATCGTCAGACACAGACACGTCACTGAAACCATCCGTAGCTCTAGCGAACACGGCACTCTCTATCTAGACTGGGTTCCCGCTACCCCGCACCCCGCCAGGTGAGCTCGGCTCTGCACCGTATGTTCTCCCCCATCCACCGCTTCCCGGGACAGGGCGCTTGTAATACAGATTGCAGGAATTTAAAGGTGGGGCAGCCCGCCAGGTATCAAACAATCCCCCACAAAACAGGACCAACAGGCGTAAAGTGGAGTGGAAGTGTGGGGCTGGGGTTCCCTGAAATATATTCCTACTTTATAAGGGGCTTTGAAGTTTTTCAAGTGTGACCCCTCTGTCCCAGGTCCAACTATCATCCTCCTTCTGATTCATTTTAAAAGACAAGATCTGGACTTTGGGCTTTTAAATGTTACACAAGATGATTTGCTGGGGGAGGAGTGTAGGGTCTTTCTACGGTTATTCTCCCACCCCACCCCCAAACTCTTACAAGTAAACTCTTCACACTCCTCACAGATAAGGGATTTGCCACATCGCAGCTGGCCTCATCCTGATGCGTGGGAAACAGAGAGTGAGGAAAGAGGCTGAGGACCCGACTGCTAGGGAAGCTACCAGTACTTTCTCACACTGGCGCCCAGACTCCAGCCATTCATGAGCCCCTCTCCTGCATCAGCAGTGATCATTTCTCCTCCATCTTCAGGCCCCAATTTCTCATAGCGATGACCCAGCTTTGGGAAAAATCTTGAAGGCAAGTGGCACCAAACATCAATCTGGCCAAACCTAAGCCACCTAAGTATAAACCCATGCAAACCATTATTTCTGTACTTTTAAGAAAGAACACTCCCAATTGGAGAGTCTTCCTAACTGTTCTTAAGAAGAACTGTTCCTACATTCTCAAGGGACCTGTCTATATAAAAATGATGAAAAGTGCATTTTCCACTAAAGGACACCCCACCTGAAATCCCCACACTGTTTCCTGCTGACTGTGGCTTCTCACTGCGAGAGGAAAAAGTGTTGGGCCTGCCTTGGTGACCGTGCTCTATGTCATTTCTGACAAAACGTGTGCCACATCCAAATAGACAGGTTGGTGAGCCAGGCTTTGGGAAATCACTGCACTACCACGCGTGCTTTTCCATATGGCGGTGCAAGTGGAAATGTGTGTGGATGATAACCAATGACGATATTTCATGAGCCTAAAGTTGCTTCTGGCCTCTTACTTCTTGCATTAAATTATCCCTTTCAGAGCAGACACGGAACAAATGATATGAGGCCCCCTTGGGTTTTAAATTGTGGGCACCTGGTCCTTTCTGTGGGAGTGGAAAGCATAGATTGTATCCTCTCCCTCATTTCTTCGCAGACCATCTGAATGTTGTCATGGTCTTAGAAAGTTCGGCTGGGCTCAAGTTATGAGAGGATGTAAGAAGACTCGTTTCCTCTACCCTGAGACTGTGCCTACCAACTCAAGATGTGTAACATGAGTAAGGGGCTAAAGTCCTCTCATTTGTTCAACAGTCAAGAACTGATTACTCTTGGCCTGGACCTAGAACATGGAATTCACACTCATGAAAAAAACATGGCATACAGGCCTATGGTAGTCTGTGTGTCTGTCTAGCCCTATACATACCATTATTGAAAAATCCAAATTTATTTTTAGACTTTAGAAGTGAATCATGCTGTTGGACGAATAGTTCTTTCAAATCCACAGCAACCAAAGAAGTGAAATAATAGCACTTCTCCCCACGTTGACAAGGGTGGTAGCCCTCTGTTACGGCAGTGCCAAGAAACATCTGAATGACGGTCTGGCCACGTCACCAGGAGTGAGCGGCAGTGTTGTCCACGGGTAACGGGATTCAAGGCTCAGTCCACGTGAATCAGTGGCACAGAGCAGTGCTTTATGGTGGGGCTCTCACTGTAAGAACCTACTGCTCCTCATCATCCAAAGCCCCCCAAGTCCTTTGAGAAGAACCTGTCTGTTCACAGAGGAAGAACCTCACTTTAGTTATAAGAGAGGTGACAGGTTCACTGGCCGAAGCAGGACAGTTACTTGGGTCACCTATAGGCCAGGAGGCTCTTATGAAACCCAGACCTGGGTGGGGGTGTCTCTTGGCAGCACTTTGTGCAGTTTGGGGAAAGGTCACGTGGTACGGATGGTTCTCCCACACCACGGCCACCAGGGCACAGAGAGTCGCTGAAGCCAAGCCTGTCTCTCTGTAACCATCTATTCCTCTTCATCCCCTCCCCTCCTGCCCACCTTCTGATGGAAATAAGCTCAGAAAACTCTCCAAACCCAGCTCAGCTAGCCACAGTGCAGCAGATTCGCTCAAATTTTCTCTCTTTTCTGGGGCATATCCAAGCACAGTGGCTCAACTAGAAATGAACCTCTTGCCTACCAATTCTGAGCTCTCGAATGCATATTTACTCCAGTCAGATATGGGTCAACACTTTCAGCCAACTTTTGCTCAGAGCCAAAGAAATTGCCGTTTCCTCTCATTCTAAAAACCCATGGTTTTGTTTGGACCACACGTCTGTTTCTCCAGCGTCAGTGCACATCCTCAAGCCTGGAGCTAAGTGTGCCGCACTCTACGTGTACAGGGGAAGAAGACGCTGGCAGAATGACTCATCAGCTCTCCCAGCAATTCTAAACCAAGATAACATAGAATCAGAAACATTAGCTCTTTGAATATTTCCTTCTCCTTGTCAAAAATCTCTCTTAAGATGCTTTATCCAAAGAATTTCATGGAAATGAATTTTGTGCTGGAATCTCTCTATTTGCTATAGAGGAAAACGTAGAGTGAGGCAGGCCATCCAACATGTGCAGTACCAATGTTTCAGAAAGGCCTCATCATAGCTCCCATGCCACCACCCCACGCCCCTCCAGCCTATTCTCCACTCAGCCACTAAAGGGATTTTCCTAAAAAGCAAGTCTAATCATGACACTACCCTGATTTAAAGCCCTCAGTGGTTTCAAAGCCCTTCCAGGCTAAGTCTAGGTCCTCTAAACCTTCTATGGGTTTCTTAGGATCCAGCCCTATCTACCTGTGCAGTGAACCCCTCCCCCTGCCTTACACCTCATGCTCTGGCAATGCTGTATTTTCCAGTGGAGCCCACCATGGCATTCCATGCTTTCACACCTTTGCATACGTTCCTCCCTCATCATGGAATGCCCTGCCTTTTGTTGTCCTGGAACATTCTTCTTTGTTTTAAAAAGCTAACAGACATTGCTCCTTTTAGCAAGGTTTCTCTGGCCCCCAAGATGGTTCATCGTTGCTTCCTTATGCCACGTCAGTACTCTTGCCTGTTTTGCAATTTGTCTACACGCCTCCTATGCTCATGAACTTCTTGAGAGCAGGAACTATGCCTACCCTCGTGCCTGGCCCTTGACGTAGGCTCAAAGTGTGCTTTTTGAATGCATGAGGAATGAACCACCGATAAGCAGGAGGTGCACCTGTGGCATAAATTGCAAGGATGACGCTCCAGCAGGACCCCAGCATGCTCACCCAAGTGAGGCCTCGCTGTTGTAAAGGGAACAAAGAGACATTGTTGAAGGCCGAGTCAATCAACATCATCTCTGAACTACAACCACTCACACACAAAAGGCTGCACCAGGGGTCATGTCACCCTTCTCCCAACATTGTTTGCCACTTATTACTCTAGTCACAACGATTGCTTTCTTTTAATGCCAGCATCATGCCTGATGCTTAGTGGATGCTTAACAAATACTGTGAAAGGATCAATAAATGTGAAATCTACTTTTTTAAAAGAAGGCATCAAATGATTGGCTTTTAAAGGCATTTCACACATGACAGATTTTTCTGAGGCATTGGTGACCCCGATCATCGGGTTAACCCAATCAGGAAGAGGGGACCAATCAGAGAGAGAGGGCCTGGGGGAGCAGTCAGGAATCTGCACTAGAGAGACATGGTCCTGGGTTTACCTTGGCCCCATGTCAGTTTCCTTCCTTCTCAATAAATAGCAACCATGGATGGTATTTCCTGCCCCACCCAGAAGGCTCTTGCCTCTCGTTTGTCAGAGGAGCACACTAGCACTGCCACATCCGTGCTATCCAGGAACTGCATGTGCACCAATGAGGGTGAACACAGGCAGCTTCCCACCTTCATTTCAAGTCTGCTATGCAATGGAGACCAATCACAGAAATGAGCCCTGGACTAAAACCACCACCGTCAAGGACTAAAGTTGCCCATTCACCATACCTGTTAAGAGCAAGGCTCTGGACTCAGACCAACCTGGGTTCAAATCCAGGCTCCAGATCTTTCTACCCAAATCATATGAGGCAAGACAATTGTCCTTTTGGGGGTTCAGTTTCCTCACCCATAAAATGGGAATGATCTCACACACCTCACAGGACTATGGTGAGGATTAAAGGATATGGTGTATGTGAAGCCTGCACAGTGTCTATAGATGGTAAGTGCTCGAATATGAAAAACTATGACTTAGGACTTTCAAAAATATTTTTACAATTATCAGGACAAGAGGAAAAATATCCTTTGAAGACACTGTGCTTTAAAGAGAATGGATTGTCTAATTTTTAGGAGCCAACAGTGCTCATTAATCAATGCCCCGTGGATAAACATGAAAAGATAGTGTTGGCATTTCAAACAATAGCCGTGGCAATTACCACACCCCAGGACGGACACATAGTGACAGGGCTGGGGACACCCAAGCATTTCTCTGAGAGTTGGTCCAAGAGGATTAATCCTGAAGGGCTCATGTCTGATTCTCCCCTGCTGGACCCAGAGTAACTCAGAGTCGGAACCCCGAAGGAGCCAAGGTCAAGGTGCCAAGGGTAAGATGCCAGTTTCGGTCTGTGAGCAAGTGGGTTTGAGGGAGGGTCAGGGGAGACCTGTCTGCTGGACAGGACTGAGGCAGGTACAGCGGATTGCTCCGTGTGTCATGCAAAGCTAGAAAGTCATAGCGTTTCCTGTGTGCTGTTTTGATCCTCCTTGTACAACGCAAGGCCAACAGGGGATTAAAATTTCCCCAAATTTCTGCCCTGAGCATGAGACAACTTTTTCCTATGCTAAATTTGGTTTTCATTTTTAAGCGTCTGAGATGCATGATTCAAATGGGTCAAGTTCCTGGCTTCTTATCTTGATTAAACCACCCCCGGCCCCAGGCTTCCTAGGCTTGCCCTGTGTCTGCCACCTCTTACAGCCCTTCCACACATCATTCAGGAGGTTCCATGAAGAAAGCTCGGGGTCAGCGTTTGGGGAAGTACAAGCTAAGCCATCAGCCCTTGGGAACGAAGATTAATTTCAGGAGCAGGTGGGTTAATTTGTCTGGTTACTTTGAGCAACAGGGCAGGGACCTGAAATGGAAAAGAGAAGAGATTTCTAAATGCGGAGATAGCTCCATCCGCGGGAGATTGGATTCCCGGGAAGAAATGGACCTCACTCAGGGGAGGCCTCAACCTGTCTGATTTAGCCTGAGCCTGTGAGAGCTCACAGCCCATTTCTGGCCTTCTCGCCCCGGGCTCAGATTGGTGGGCAGCATCCTAACCAGGCGGCCCAGGACCAGGCAGTGTTGTGTGGTGGAGGGAGCACTGGACTGGAGGTCAGGAGACCTGAATTCCAGCCCAGGCTCTGCCGCTAACTAGCTGTGTGACCTTGGGCAAGTCACCTGATGTCTCTGGGGCAATTGTAAAGTGAGGGGTTGGTTGGGCTATCTCTTAAGTCTCCCCTCTGAGTGATCCAGGGTCCTAGTCTATCCCTCCTTGGCCCTGTGCTTCCAGGGACAGAGATGGGAGAAGGAAGGGACAGGGAGGAAAGAGAGGAGGTAGAAGGGAGCCCAAGGGTGTCACGCATCAGGACTCCACTTTTTCCTTCTTTTTGCTCTTTTTCAGGAAGGAGGGGGTTCGGAATTTCTTTTTCTTCTTTGAGGGAGACTTGGAGGGTGAGCCCTCTGGGGACATGGGGCCGCTGGTGACCGACTCGGTTTTGTCCTTAGAGGCATCGACGTCGGTGTCGGCGTTGGTGGTCATCTGGCTCAAGCCTTTGCTGAGGATTTCCTCCGCGGTCTGCTCCTCCTCCCTCCCGTTGACCACCACCCCCTCTGGCTGGGTCGTTTCGGGCTCTGTGGTGGCTTTGCTTGTTTCTGTCTTCTTAGCACCTTCTAGAAAAAGATCAAAAGACATGACCAGTAAGATTTCATTCAGGTGAGCGCTTCCACCTGAGGCTAACAGAACCATTTCTAGGCAATTTTGTAAAGCAAGGCCAGTCGTGGGAACATGCCCTGGGCAGGGCGGGGTCTCTGGGCTCTTGTCTACAAATTTAAACAGATATTGATGTCTGAACATGGCAGGGGGCCCGGCTCAGAGCTTTTTTGGCAGGAGGGAGGGAACAGACTCAGGGGAGGAGAGAGGCTGTTGGAAGGGGGGAGCGTGTCATGTACGCCTCAGTGGAGACATCTAAGGATCACTGTAACTGGTCCAGCTTTACCAATAAAAATATGGAAATTCCATGTTTTCATACCCATTTCATTTTCCACACCAGTGAGGAACTTTGAGAAAGATGGAGATTATCTTCCCAGCAGGCAGAGGCGAAGGCAGAGGGAGAATGGAATTCCCTGAGTGACATGGACCGCGTTTCCAAGACACAAGTGTTAGCCGAGAGGAGAGGATCCCTGGTCAGCCCACTCTAGCGGCCACCGGGGCCCCCAGGTCTTCATTCACTTGGGGAGTCTGTTGGGATTGCCGCCATGTTCAAGGCCAGAGCTGCTCAGACCCCGGAAACTAAGCCCTCCCGTCACCCTTGCTCCCCTCCCCGCTCTCCTCCCACCCTGTTTCCACAGAAGCTTTGAAATGCCTGGCTGGGAGGGAGCGGAACCTGTTTAGAAGTAGAAAGCAATGTAAAGATCAGCTGGCTCACTCCTCCCATTTTGCAGCTAGGAAGACTGAGCTCAACAGGAAAACGATGGGCAGACCTCTGTGTACTGACTCGCAGGCCAGTGTCCTTTTCACCACACGAACTGAAAGAAGTGTGAGTGTGGGGGGGCTTGTGTGTGAATGAGCGGGCTGTGTGAGCGTGTGTGAGTGTCCGTGTGTGTGCGAGTGTATGTGTGAGTATGTGTGGTGTGCAAGTGAATGTGAACGTGAGCGTGAGTGGTACGAGAGTGGGTGCACATGACCGAGCATGTGTGCAGTGTGCAGATGCGTGTGGCAGGTGTGTGTGTCGCCACATCACGGGAAGGAACCCCAGCACTCTCCCCTCTCTGGGAACGTGGGTAATGGGGGAGGCATAACCAGTGATCTGGAAAGAGTGGGTGAAGACTGAGTTTTAGGAAAAGCCTAGGGGTCTTCATAGGCAAAGTGTGGGGAAACCTATAGTTCCACAGAGGATGGCAGGGGGAGTTACTTGGGGAAAGTTAGAATGGACAAGTTTAACTACCTGGGCAAAGTCTCCCTATAACGAGGTCTTTTGTAACTTCCCCAACTGGCTGGGCAAGTCAGAGGCCTCTCCTGACCACCCTGAGCACCAGCTCCCCCTGAGGACCAAAGGCCTTGGCCACTGGCTCCCACTCTTCCCACTGCCCAGTCCCTGTCCTATCATTGTCCAGCTACCAAGTTTTCCAATGTCCTCGACTCCTACAGCCCTTACTCTAGTCCCCTTGCCTACCACATCCTCCTGGGGCTGTCACCTGGCAGTACTCTTGAATGCCATAAACCAGTCTGGACACAACCGTCTCTGTCCACTGTCCTCTTCTCACTACACTGGCTATTTGCCCCATCAGCCTTCTAGTCCCCGCACACACACACACCCTAGCATCCCAGCCTGTCTCCCTCTGTCTGGAAGGCCCTTCTGTCTCTTCTCTGTGTTGCCAACCTTTACCCCACACAATAAATCCCCTCGAATATTACCTCTTCCTTAAAGTTCTTCTTGGTTCTCGTTCCCACTGCCAGGTAGAATTTATCAGTCCTTCCTTTCTGCCTCCACTATGTAAACTTCCAACATGACAACTGCAAAACTAGCACTTGTTTTCTTATGCCTATCCCCTCCCCTCTCTAAACTGAAATAAATTAGACTGTGTCTAATTATCTGCGTAACTAGCTCATAGAAAGTACTCAGAAGATGTTTGTGGAATCGATGAATGGTTGAAGGCATGAGCAAATGAATGAATGTGTGAATGGACTGACTCCAACCAGGCTAATACCATCACCTCATCTTCTTTCTCGTCTATCTCAGCCTGAGCCTTCTCTGCTGAACTGGATCCATCCATGTAAACAAGCACCAGCCCAGGGAGATGGCCTCTGTCTCTCTGCTGCCCTGGTCCTTTCTCACCTTCCTGGGCTCTTGTGCCCCCAGGGTCCTGCAACTTCCACCCAGACCCCCACCGCAGGCCCTTCCCTGGGATGACATATACTCAAGCTTGCCCCTCGGTGTTCTCCCTCCAAGATGATCCACAAGCACAACTGTAGAGAAGAGGGGTTCCCACTTTCTGTCCGGGTGGCATTTCCTTCCTGGTGGTGATGAGTATCCTCACTCTAATGGAGCCCTTCTCCCATGCCCCTCATCTGTGTCCCTTTGCCCACTCCTGCATTGCTGTCAACCTCATCTATAGCCTCAGCCCCTGGTGTGTATCTTGGTTTAGGAGAGCGACACTCAAGGTTCTTCTCATCATGTAGAAAATGAGGGCCACACTCGGTGCATCCACCATGACCTCAGAGAGCTCCCACATTGAGAACAGTCTGGGGGGTCATGACAAGTGGAAAGCAGGGCTTGGAGGAGCCAGGTCCCAAATTGAGGTCCCCACTCCCTCATCAGAGACTGCTGGAAGGTTCTACTGGCCAAGAGAAGGGGCACTAGGGAAGGCTCCAGGAGTGAACATGTACTGGGGCCCTGAATAGTATTGAGGACTAGCTCTGAGAGCCTAGACCCCTCCTTTGTTAATAGGTTGAGGCTGGGCTGGGAGGGGCCCCAGGAACTAGAGGCAGATGGAAGCTTGCCTTCCAGCATCCTCTAGGAACCACTGGCTTTGTCTCCTGAGTGGGGCACATGGTCCTCTGGGAATAAGGGATAGTATGGCAGCGAGTGGAGTGGGACGGAGGCTGGAAAATGAGGGACTCTGTCCAAGCATGGTGATCAGTAAGCTAGGAGGGAGAGGAGGCATCTGGAGAGCAGGTGATTGGGAGCAGGGCTGCGCTTGGGAGCAGCGTCCACACCCAGAACTCTGTGGGTTGGGAGACAAAAAGTTGAAAAGCTTCCAGAGGCCAGAGGAGGAAGCAGGGCTTCCCAGGGAGGTGCAGAGCTTGTGTGGACACTCTGCTTCTCCAACTTGACTTCTCACTATTCCACAGCCTCTAACCACTGGTTGTTTCTTGGCCGCCAATGTCCCTGTGGATGGTTAATTTTATGTGTCAACTTGACTGGGTTAATGGATGCCCAGATAGCTGGTAAAACATTTCTGTGTGTCTGTGAGGGATTTGGGGAAGAGATTAGCATGTGAATCAGTAGACTAAGTAAAGAAGATCCACCCTCACCAAAGTGGTCGGGCACCATCCAATTCATCGAGGGCCTGTTCAAATAGAACAAAAAGGTGGAGGAAGGGTGAATTCTTTCTCTCTTCTTGAGATGGAACATCCATCTTCTCCCGCTCTCAGATACTGGAGCTCCTAGTTCTCAGGTGCTCAGACTTGGACTGAATTACACTACTGATGTCCCTGTTCTCCAGCTTGCAGACAATATATCATGGAACTTCTCAGCCTCCATAATCACATGAGGCAATTCCCCTAATAAATCTCCCCTTTTCTCTCTCCATATATCCTATTGGTTCTCTGGAAGAACCCTAACACAGAAATTACACCTCCAGAAACACCCACTCCCCCAGCTTCCTGGCCACCATCCCTGGACAGCCCACTCCACTCCTGCCTGCCAGTCCAAGTATGTATCTCCCCAGGGTCTGGTTCAAGCCACACTTTATTTGTGCAGTCTCCTCTGACATTGGACAATAATCCTGCCCTCCTCTAAAGCTACTGCTCGTGTATTCATTTTGCGCTTGCATGTGTCATTTATCTTTTTCCTTTTAAGAGTCCATTCATCACCCAAGTAGACTATTCAGAACAGAAACTCTGCCTTTTACTTCTCTGACAACCACCACCCATCTCAGTGACAACATGCTCAAGCCATGTTTACTGCTGCTTAATTTTGCCAAGTAAGGCCAGATGAAGATTCAATGGAGGATGCTTTGCTTCAACTCAGAGGCTGGGTTCTTCTGTGTCAGTGCAGTGGGATGAGGATGTGGGGAAAGAACATGGACCTTGCCTTACTGAAGGAGAAAGGCTGCCTTTCCTCCCCTGGCCTGATGAACCTGGTCCACTAACATCTCAGGGTCAAACCCATGACCTCTAGCCACAGCCCCGCAGCTTGGAGAGGCCCTTTCTTTGCATCAAGGGAGACACCAATGGGGGAACCTCACACAAGATTCGCCAACTCACTTCTGAACACAAGGTCAACCAGAGTTATCATGACCTATATACCAAATGCATGGAGAACTGGTCACTGCCATGTACTGCTTTCACTTCCCAGTTGAAAAGGCAGCTCTACACCATTGCACAGAGAAGCCATAGAAAGATTCATTAAAGACTTCAAAAGAATCTGTGATCTATGCTGACACAAGTGCTGGGTGCTCATGCAGCAACAGTCAAAAAAGTCCATAGGGTGCTCAGGAACAGAGCAGTAGAGCAGCAAGCAGAACTGCCTCATGGCTGATCATATGCTGGCCATGCAGAGAGGTCTGCAACAGTTTCTGTCTGGGTTTAAAGTCTCAAACATCAGTGTCTGAAAAAAATTACCCAGGAAGCTTGCAAAAATGCAGCTTCCTAGTAGCATCTCCACAACAGACTTTGAAACAGAGGGTGAGACAACAGATACGTATTTTTAGCAAATCCCCATGTAATTCTGATATGAAAGGCCCATTGGCCACACATTGGGAAACATGGATTTAGAATGATATATCTCCTCCCACCTTTACCTCCCCCAAGGATGAGATAGCACCAGTGATAGGAAAGAAAGTAGAGTTTCTGGTAAATAGATGCAGCAGACACTCTACAGAGCGTCTCCCATTCACTTATCATGGTTGGGACATAAATGTTCCCCTGAGCACCCAAATATACTTTTGTATGTGGTATAGCCAGTATGCAAATATGGCCCCAATGAGCCATGCCTCCGGGTATTCACGTGCTTGTGTAGTCCCCACCTACACTGAATCTCGGCTGGCCCCAACATCTCCCATAACCAAAAGAATGCAAAGGAAGTGCTACAGAGCCAGCCTCAGGCCAAAGACTTAAGAAGGCACAGAAGCTTCTATTTTTACAGTTTTGGGAGCCCTAGACCACCAGGTATAAAGTCCAACTACCCTGACAGAAACACCTGAAGGAGCTCTGGACCACGCGGAGAGAGACAGAGAGATCCAGCCATCCCAGTGTCCCAGCTGAGCCCAGTTTTCTAGCTGCCCCTGCCAAGGCACCAGACATGTGAGTGCACCATCTTGGAAGTTCCAGCTTAGTCAAGCTCCCAGCTGACTACAGGCCCTGCTGACATCACACAGAGTAGAAGAAGCATCCAGCTAAGCCCAGTCAACTCTAGTCAATCCACAGGGGAACTAATTTCCATAAAACTAAGTTCTTATCATAGTTCATGATTTAATAATTATCTATTGCTGCATAACAAACCACCCTAAAACTTAGTGGCTTAAAATGTCAAGTGGTGTATATAGCTCTTACAATTTGGAGAACCTGGTACATAATAAGAACTAATTAATGTAAGCAAATTACTTTTATATTCAGTAGCTCATTTTATCCTGATAACAATACTGTGAGTTAAGAAGGGCAAGGATTTGTGTTATTCTTCTATTCTGCAGTGTTTTTAAGTGACTTATTTGAGATGGCTAGATTAGTTAGTGGAAGAACAGACTGTCTGATATCAAACACAGGGCTAATTCTTTGCAGGTGTAGCCAGTTCCTCTGAGGGTTCCACGGTGGATGGAGTCAGCAAGGCCAGGGGTCAGTAGGAGGTAGTCAAAGAGAAGGGGCTGGCACAGATGGCCAGATGCAAAGGCTCTCTCTGATGGCCAGGGTAGGAGTCAGGGAGACAGATGAGGAGTGACATTGAGGTGACTCAGCACAAGAGGATTTGAGGGCACAGAGACAAATGGTCGGAAATGCTGTCCCTGATCTGGTGGGTGAGCTAAATGTGAAAGTGCAAATGCTGCCTGGTCAGTCAGCCCCATCTGCCCTAAGGAGCTGGGCAAGCCATTAAGCAGCCTGGCCACAGAGTCATGCCAGTCACCCCACACAACTACAACTCGTGCTCTCATCACACAGGGTCTGCTCCAGTACGGCCATGCTCCCCAGCTCTGTTTGTGCTGTAAGAAGTATCTTCAGGAAGGCCTTAACTTTTCTAACAACTCAACAACAATGTGCCCTTGTAGGGGGAGAATGAGGAATCCTGCTACAGTAGGTATGATATCAGGCATGGGTAAACAGCTATCCTACCTATCCCATACCCCTTCTGCCCTCTGTCCCTCCTGGGAGCTGATATGAAAATGCCACCCCTTGTTCCACTCCTGCCATGAGCCTCCTCTCCAGCCCTGGGTTCCCTCCTGCAGTTGGAACACATGTCCTGATGGATGCTGAGGAGCCTAGCAGGCCAGGCCTTCCATGCACACCTATAAGATGGTTGGTCCTCAAGGACAACCAGGCTCTGGCCCACAGCCCTAGAAGAGGTTGTGGGCTCCTTAGAGATGCCTGTGCATTAGGAACAGGATGAGGCTGAACTCTTAAGGGCCATGAGCACTCTGCCCTCAGGGAGTGCGTGAGATTGGCCCCACTGCCCACTCACTCTGGGGGCTTGTTGCTTCTGGGCACGTGTGCCCTGTGTGTTTGTGTATGTGCGTGCCCTATGTGTGTTACATCCATGTCTCCCACAGAGAAGCCTAGTCCGCATACAGCACATGTGGAATTGGTCATGAATTTTACAGCCAGGAAACCTCCTAAAGGCGGGGTTGTGAGTTGCAAAGGGAAAAATTGCAGAGAAATATATTTCTTTTGAAAGAATCCTCCCTCCCCCATTGCAAGTGTCGGAGTGAGTTAGTAAGCAGCCTCTCTATACTTACTACAGAGACAAGTATTCAGAATCGGAGGAAACTCCTTTGATGAAGGCACAAATGGGAAGAGAAAGGAAGACATTGTGGAGACAGATTGACAACACCATGATGAGACACAATGAACACAAATAGTCGGGGGACATCCACTTGGGGCCCTGGCCTCAAGCAGATGGGTTTCCTTTGGCAACGCTGGGCTGGCACTCTAGGTAGCAATTTGCTTATGGAGGGAGCTGCGAGGTTGGGGAATTCTATGGAAACCCACATATGTGGCCATTCTACCCAGGAGGGAGAAGATTCCAACAATCCCCCAAGTTGCTGCCCTCTGGATGGCAGCACAGCCCTCTCTGGTGGGGATCTCCGGGGGACCCAGGGGAGGAGTGTTCATGCCCTGGAGTGATTCCAGGAGCTCACTAAAGACACTTTCGTGATTTACGTGGCTAGGAATTATAATAGTATTGTTATCCATCATACATATACTATTAATCATAACCACAATTAGATCTTACATTTAAGGCATGCTTTTACTTTTTCAAAGTATACTTTCACCTACACGTCCCTTACACACATAAGAACTCTAAAAAGAGAAAATATTAGTAGCCCCATTTGACAGACAAGGAAACTGAGGCACAGAGAGGTTATCTGATTTGCTAAAATTAGTAGTTATTATAAACTAGCAGTTTTGTTGGGCCTAAAACCCAGTTCTTTAAACTAGCACCTCTCCATGGAAGCTGTTCTTGACCTGGACTACACTTTAGATTCCCCTGCCGAGATCTTAAAACTCCAGTCTGTACTCCTCAACTCTCCCCCGGGACCATTTAACTCAGAAATGCTGGGGGTGGGATCCCAGCATCAGGATTGTTAAAGCTCCCCAGGTCTTTCCAGTGTGCAGTTAAGGGTGGGAATGACATCATTAGTCTCACCTGAGAAATGCGGAGTCTCAGGCCCCATCCCAGGCTTGATGGGTCAGAATCTTTACTTTAACAAGATGTCCAGGTGGTCCCTATGCACACTGAAGTCTGAGAACCCGCATGGTGCATCTGGTAAGGCCCATCAGCCCCACCACGTCTGAGTTAGGGATGAGGAGGCTGTGGGTCGGTCATTAACTCATTCATTATTGCTTACACCGGGCTTAAGTTGTAAGATGTATTGTCACAGCTTGTGAATGAAACAAGTTGAAATTCGGTAACCCCATTTCAGATTCCCTAGAAATAGCAAAGGGGAAAGCTTTTTGGATTGGGGAGCAGCACCTGTTGAAGGCAGGGTCCCCACAGTGTGCGCACCTGCCCTGCCCTCCACGTGGGCACCTTGTGGCTGCACCGGCCCCCATCCCAGCCCGCTCAGCTCCACTCACCCTCTGAAGTCTTGGAAGGAGACACCATGGGGCTCTTTGTCTCTGCCTCCTTGGCTGGGCTCTGCACGGGAGAAGTGGGGGCAGACTTTACAGGTGAGCTAGGCTCCTCTGGGGCAGTTTCCTTCTCTCCTGAAAACACAGAAAACCACCTTAGAATGGAGGTCAAATAGAGGAGAGATGGGAAGATAGAGCATTTAAAAATTGCTTTTTTCTACCTGATCATCATTTCTCCGGGCTGATAAGGAACCTTCTGGCTGAAGTTAGCTGCTCCCTAGCCTTTTTTTATTTCTGCTACTTCCTCAGGGGTGCAAATGGGAGAAGTCAGAGTCATGTTGTTCCCTTCATCAATGCACATCTGCCAGTGGAATATGTCACCCCTGATGTGGACAGCCAGACCAGAGCCTGGCTCCCATCTCTCTCCTGTACCTGAAGAGGACCAGCCAGGTGCTTTATGTTGTGAGCACAACAACGGGCGAGAGAGGTGGACACACAAAGAACCACTGACTCCCCTTAAAAACACCCGTGATTTGTTTGCATGTAGCTCATTTACTATTTATCTAATTTATGTTTTCTGTACAAACAATTCCTAGAAATAAGCATCATGTTTCTCTATCTACCTTTTCCATTGGCATATTGGAACTCCAAGCAAACCAGCAAGGCTTTTTCTAGTGCTGGCTTCGTGCCCAGGAAGAAGCCGGCCCTCGGGCGAAGGTCACGGTAGAAGAAGACCCTGCCCTGAGGGAATGACAGCCTAGACGGGTGGACACAACCACAAGCTGAATTAGGTGTCTCAGACCCTAAGAGCTCTTGAAGCAAACAGAAGAGGTAGCTCCCTTGGGTGGGCTGCAGAGGGTAACAGGAGGCCTTCCTAGCTAGAGGGGGGTTTGACATGGAACCAGAAGTGTCAGTCACTTTGGATCAGGAAAGCCAAGAAGGGGAATCCTGTCAGGAAGGGACAAAGGCGTGAACAGGGGCATACAAGCTATCATGAATATGAGTATCTGGGTGTCAACACAGAGAGATGGGTTTGACTAAAGATTCTGAAATAACGGGTGAGAAAAAGAAAAACATAAAGGTGTCAGCTGGTGGATAGCTTTGATTGCTAGACCTAATTATATCAGACCTGATGGAAAATAATAATTAATGGAAAATAATAATTGATGGAAAATAATAATTAAGACTATTAAAATTATTATAACTCACATTTATCTGGTGCTCACTGACCTGAGCTGTATTTACAGACACTATGCTAAGCATTAAGAAGTCTTAACTCCTTTACACCCAGGTAGGCAGGTCTAGTGAGGTCCTGAAGGCACCATGTAACTGTTGGGCACAGAGTGATGAGGGCATTGTTATGATTAACAGAATTATGGTAATAAGAATATTATTGTATTTGGCGATGGGGCAAGAAGGTCCTCTCTGGGTGGTCCCGAGATCTCCCCTTCCACCCCCGGGGAATTCTGAAGCAATGGTGCCTCAGGGTTATTTACCATCGAGTTCTAGTTTCTTCCTCTCCACCTCCTTCTTGTACTCCTCCAGCTCCTGGTCAGTGAGTTGGCTGAAGGGGTTGGGCACCATCTCCTCTGAATCATCTTTGGTATCTGCATCACCCTTGGACATCAGCTGGCTCTCTGTAGACTGAAAGTTAACCACAGAGTGTGTGTCGCTCTCTGAACGCCGCAGTTGGGGCGCAGGCCCCAGCTTCCTTTCAGACTCACGTGGCTGCAAGTGGTCTTGCTAGGGAGAGCGTGGCATGCAGCTCCTTGGAAACAGCTCAGGGCCTTGGGGCAAGGGTTGTTCATTTCTCCCCATTGCTATCTCACTCCCAGACCCAGATTTTGTAACTGCCAGGATGAATTCAGGGGGTCCACACTCTGCCCCTGAAATAAAATCAAAGGATGCTCCCAAGCAGAAGGATGACACACTTTTATTGCAATCCCTTCTATGGACACTTCCAAGCCATCACTATGCAAATACAGTCGGTGGCCCAGTTACTCAGCCAGAGCCCAGCAAGCACAGCATTGGCTCAAGCAAGCTTCATGCCAGCCATTCCCCACCACTGCCCCGCCCACCCCACCCCCCAACAGCAGTGCAAGCCACAACACACAGCTTTAAGTCATATGCAAAACACAGCGGCTTCAGCGTTCTCCATCCAAACTGTTAGTCCTGTTTCGCACAGTCAAAATTACAAAGGGGCCAAGTTCCTGAGTCTTGGATCTTCAACCTGCCTGTACTGCAGGTCCCTGCAGGGACATTGGCAAAATCACTGTGTTTCACCACCTTTGTGGAGCCCCTGGCTCTGGGGAGCTGACCAGCCGGACCTTGGGTAAGCTTCAGGAATCCTCTGACCCCTCTAGCCCAAGACGGACTAAAATTCCGACTCCACAGCCCCTTTTCCTAATTCAGCATCCTCATGCTGGCCGTGGGGGATGCAGTGCTCTGAAGCTGCGGAGGAGCAAAGGAGAGTGCAGCCCGCCAGTCCTCCCTTCCCTGGCCCGCAGGGTCTTCCGATGATGGGCCACAGGCTCCTTCCAGAAGGGAGGCAGCAGCAGGCCCAGCGTAAGGAATCTGGAGTCAGAGGAGCATCCGAGAACCCCAGAAGAGGGACTCTGAGAAGAGCACTTGGCATAAATGGCAGAGTTGCATTTCTTTTTTTAAAAAATTTTGCTCATTGTATTGAACTCTCACCTCCCCCACCCCAATCAGGCTATTTCTGTCCTGGACCCTGAGCACATTCGGTGTTCCTCATCTTGCTGAGTGTGGGTGCAGTGGAGGTGGGTGCGATGATACAACTTCCACACTTCTCCTGCCAACGGGCACCCGCACTGTGGGCTGCAGCCTGACCTGATATTTTTACAGCATCTCAATTTGCTCTGTAGGGAGGAACATTTCCTGTATTTCCCCACTTCTTACTGCTAAGGCAAATGCCATGCCCTTTGTTATCTTGCAGTGAAAAGCAATGCTTTCAAATACATGCCAGGACCCTAAACTTCAGCCCTTTTGTGAAGCACTAGACAAAACACTGTTCTATCTCAAGCACAAAAACAACGACTTTATACTTTCTAACTCCAGTGGGTTTGTGTGGGCAACTAACTGTCCCTTCCCATCCTGTAGGAGCCCTGTCCTGTCTACACACCCCTCTCTGTGGGTACCCGAGCATCCTCCCAGAGTTCTGGCTGGATGATGCCGTATCCCAGCACAGAGATCAGAAACATTCAGGGCTGGCAGACCTGGGGCACCTGAGAATCACTGGCCCCCTGCCCGTGAGTCCCCACCATGCGGGGTGCTAACAGGACAAAGCAGAGCTCCGTGCTGGAAGGAATGGAAGCCAGCAGCACTCCTGTGTGCAGGTGGGGCTGCTGCTCCCCTCCCGGTGCCCAGAGGGGGCGATGAGACATCATCCTCCCAGGCCTCACAGCACCCCTGCAAGGTGGCCCTCCATTTTGCAGCAAGAGCACCAGCACCCGAGATCACAGGGGAGGGTGGGCATGAGGACTCAGGGGTCCTGCTGCCCAGCCCCAGGCATGAAAGACCCAGAAGGCAAACATGTTTCCCCTCCAGTCAGGGGCGGCCTCTGCTGTACCGGGCTTCGGCTCTTCTCAGCGATGACGCCCGCCAGGAGTTGGGACTGAGGTCCCGCCGACTTCACATCTTGTCGGTTTTGTTCTCGAATCTGTGTGGAGAGGGGAGAGGGAGAGTGAGCTGGCTGTTCAGTGTCAGAGCGTGGAGTTTGGCGGGGGGCACACCGGTGTCCAGTGTAGCTTGTGGCAGGAAGGCCCCCCAGTGATGTGGGAGCCCATCTCCTAACACAATTCGTCCACTCCAAGAGATGGTCTCCACATCTGTGCTCCAGAGTTCATGGAAAGCACCAGATCTTTGTGAGCTCCAAGAAGGTGCTGTAGAGGCAAGAGTGAAAGGACGCACAGTAGACCCTTGAGGGAGGTTCTCAATTTTTTTTTGGTACTATAAATGATCTATTTTTATATAGATAACTCTTCTTCAGAATAGAAAATTGTAGTGAGAAGAGCAGCATTTTTTTTTGAGTTTTCTTTTTTTTATTATCTCAAAATATTATGGGGATATAAATGTTTCTGGTTACATGTATCAATGTTGTTATGCTGAAGTCAGGGCTGAAAGTGTGCCCATCACCCAGATAGTGCTCACTGAACCTGTTAGGTAGGTTTTCACTCTTCCCCTCCTCCCCCCTGCTTGATTTCCACTGAGTTTTACTTCCCTCTGTGCACATGTGTGCTCATTGGTTAGTTCCAATTTAATAGTGAGTACATGTGGTGTTAGTTTTTCCATTCTTTGGATACTTCACTTAGGATAATGGTCTCCAGTTCCATCCAAATTGTTGCAAAAGGCCTTAATTCAAATTTTAATATTCCTAAGAAGTTCCTAAGGAATCTGTTACAGATTCCTGGGGCCCCTCCACATCTATTGAATCTGAATGTCGGGTGGCGGGGAGGACCTAGGAATCTGAACTTCAAGCAAGTGCTGCAGGGGTCCCAGGCCACAAACTGAAACCCTGTCCTGTGAACCATCTGACTTATTGGAGGCGGCCTGCTATGCTTCAGTTTTTAAAGTAACATTAGAAATATAAGTGAGTGAACTGTCAGGCAAAGGTCCAGAAATAAATATAAAGGATCTTGAAATCTTCAAAATAAGCCAAAAGGAAAATGGTGTAAAATTCATAAAAACTCACTTTGTGGGCAGGTCTTTCAGACATGTCTAATGTGGAAAGTAAGCACCCTCCGTGTGAAGGAGTTACCTAGGACTACCCAAGTAGCACACTCAGCATGGTGCCTGGCACATGATCAGTCCATGGTAGTTTCTTGGTCCTCTGGGGCATCTGGGATGTTGGCGCATCATGCACATCCTGGGGACTCAGCTCGTGTCTGCAGAACTTGAGATCCCTCCCGGTGGGAGCAGAGAGTGAGCTAAGCAGCCCCCAACTTACCTTGTTCCTCATCTCCAGCACTTCTTGGGGGTCAGTATAGAGAGGCACGAATTGGTTTGGGTTTTCGATCCGTATGGGCATGCCACTGCTGGATTTCTCCACCTCGTCAGCCTTCATCCACTGCACAAACACAAGGCTGGGTGTTGAGGTGAAGGAGCAGGCCCAGGCATCCTCCCCAGGAGTTCCCCCATGAGAGCTGGGCCCACCGGCCTGCACGGAAGGTCAGCAAGCCTATATGTAGATGCTCTTTCTTCTTGGGACTCCTCAATGCCTGTCTCTGGGAGCAGGGATGGACAACAGATGACCCAGCTGCCAAAGAAGGCTTCAGGCCAAGGGCTGGTCATAAAGAACATTGGAGAGCCAGCGGCAGAGCCTTGGGAACCAGCTTTGACAGATAGGCAACATCTGGGGCTTCAGTATTAGGGAACCCGATTTGAGTTTGGAGGGCTTCGTATTTTTTTATGAAGAGCTATTCTATTTGGCTGTCGGCTACTTTTATGTTAATGAAAGATCAAATTGAGAGTCTATGTGTGCAGGAGAAAGGGAGAAAAGATAACTTATAGAAGTGACTGTCCTGCCCCTCCTGGGTTTGCATCTGGATCTGTAGTCCAGATGTTGGATGCCCAGCCCTTGAATTTCCCAGAAGTCCCCTCTGGATGTGGGAGCAAGAAGCACAACCCAACTGCTCCTGGGTTGTGTGCTGCTGCAGTGACCTGGTCCAGCTGCCCTCTGGAGAAGGCTGCTCCTCAGCCCCAAAAACTCAGCACAGAGGTGCCAGAAAGAGGTGGTCAGGGGCTTAGCGGCCTGAGCAGCCGCCCAGAGGCCCAGCAGAAAGCCCTAAGAGGAAATGGTACCAACCCAGGCACAGCAGAAATTGTTCTGATCTCCTTTTAAAGCTGCTTAACTCCACAAATGCAGCCCATCCCTCTCTCCAGACAGGCCTATGCTGGCTTCCCCTTACCGTGGTCTTGGGCCGGGGGCTGCCCATGCTCCTCTGGACCTCGTCAGCCACATTGACCCGCAGGTAGGTGTTGGGTGTGTTGAGCCAGCGGGTCTTCTCTTTCTGCTGCTTCTGCGCATGCTGTCGCAGCGCGGGGACCGGGGCGCCATCCTCCTCGAACACAAAGGCTGTGACCGTGGCTGGAATCTCCACCTCACTTTTGTGTTTGGTTTTCTCTTGAACAAAGGGGTGGCGGTATGTGTAGCCTGTTCTGTAGCCCTAAAAAGGACAAAAATAGAACCCCTTATGCTGGAGGGAAAAGGTCTGTATGTGCACATGCGCACTGCTCCCTTCCCTTAAGGGACTCAGTTTAAACCCAAATCTGCATAAGACAACCTGGCCTTGCCACTCTTCTGGTATATTTCAGAATTGTTCCCTCCTCCTGGTCCCCCAACCCTCTCTTCTTCCACCCCAACAAGCCCTCTGATCAGGGCTGAGAAAATCCCTAGAACCTTGCTGACCAGAGAGAGCTCTTTTCCCAAACAGTGGCCCAGGTGTCCTCTCCAGCGGTCCTCAGTCCTGATGGGCACTGGAATCACCTGGGACCTTTACAAAATACCGATGCCTGGGCCCTGCTTCAGAGCTGCCCATTTAACTGGACAATGGCGTGGCCTGGGCTACAGGATTTTTAAAAGCTTCCCAGCTGATTCTATAATAACAGTCACTCCTCCCTTCCTTGGCCCTGAAGCTTAACTATTTCCTTCTTGGAACCCCAAAATCTGACTCAACATGCCTGTCTCCTAAGCCATACCATATCCCTCAAACCCAGCGCTAATTGCTGCTCAGCAAGAACAAACACTCAGGACTGTCGGCAGTTATCAGAGCAATACTCGGCTCTCCCTGTCTTTTTCTTCTTTTATTTTTAAATTAAAATGGCATTAACATATTTTTCTGATTATAAAGAAAATACAGACCCATGCAGAAAAATTAAGCAATATAAAAAAATAAGGAAAAAAGTGAATTTTATGCAAAATCTCACCCCCAGAGACAACCACTAAAAATCTTTCCTGTCACGTCTCTATGCATACATATGTGTGCGTGTATGCTTAATCACTAGTAAAATGGGATATTTCCAGTTACATATAATGGCCACTTGAATCTCTTCCTTTGTAAATTGTTTATGTTCTCAGCCCGTTTTTCTATTATTTCTCTTTTTCACATTGATTTATAATATCTCATTACATTGAGAATATTAATGTAAAGTTTTGACTATCATAGATGTTGCAAATATTTCCCCCATAATTTGTCTTTTAGTTTTGTTTATTGGGAGGGGGGTGGTTTATAGAAATACAAGTTTTGAATTTTTAATGTAATCATATCTGTCCACATTTGTTACGATTTCAGACTTTTCTGACATGTTTAACAAAGTTTTTCCCAACACAAGAACATCAAAAATACAAATATGTTTTTAATACCTCTATGAGTTCACTGTTTACATTTAAATTTTTGATAAATCAGGAATATTTCCTGTTGAAAGGAATGAGGTAGCAATCTGCCTTAGTTTTCTTTCCCTAAAGACTAGATGGTCTTTCTTTTCCTCACTGATTTATATAATAAAGTGCCTGTTTATCCTGTGTTAAATTCTCATATATTTTGGGTATACATCTGGATTCTCTAAGCTGTTGTATTGGTTTGCTTGTCCATTCTGCTAGTATTTTAGTCACTAGTAGTCACTAAAGCTTTATCACACTTTATCAGGGGTGGAACTAGTATCCCTAATTACTTTTCTCTTTATAGCATTTTCTTAGCCATAAGGACATTTTAAGTCCTTGGTGCCTTCCCCCATTTTTGAAAGAATGACATTGAGTTTATTGAGTAATTTTGAAGAAGTGACCTTTTTACCCCATTGAAGCTTTTAAACCAAGAATAAATTACAGCTCTATACTGATTTCAGGTTTTCTTTCACGTCTATTGGTAAAGTTTTATGGTTTTATTTAAATGGGTACTGCTTAATGTTTTAGGATTTGCTGCATTTGCAAATAGGACTGTTTTCTCCCATTATTATATTTTCAAAGCAGTTAATGTTAAGATACAAAAATGACTGACTTTGTATATATTTTCATAATTGACAACTTTAAAATATCCTCATTATTTCTAATATGTTTTCAGTTGACTTTTTGGGACTTTATAGGCATATAACCATATTATCTGTAAATAATAGTAATCTTGTTTCCTTTACAATAATTTAAACCTCTTATTCTTATGCCTCACTGCCTTGGATTGAGTTCCAATATTATTCCAGAACAATATTAAATAATAGTGCTAAGAGCAAGAATCATTGTTTTGTTTCAAAGTTTAATGGAAATACTTCTCATGTTTCACCATAGTACTGGCTCTTGTTTTGAGAAGAATCATTTTAATCATGCTAAATAAGTGTCCTCCTGTCCCAGTTAACAACTTTTATTTTTATAAATTGATGTTAAATTTTTATCAAATTTTTTTGATAATGACCAAAAGGTTTTTATCCTTTGACTCATCAATATCATGAAATATATTTAAAAGATTTATAACACTAAGCCATCCTTGAATTCTAGGAATGAGCCCTCACTTGGTTATTGTGTATTAGTATTCTGATGTTATGCTCAATACTATTTGCTAGTTTTTGTGCAGAATTTTTTTATCAACATTCAAATTAAAATTGGTCTGAATGTGTTATAATTGTTACAGTTTAGTATCCTTGTTTCACTCTTCTCTGAAAATTTAAATAGCATAAGAATTGTCTGCTTCTTAAAGGTCTGAAAGAATTCCTGTATGAAATCATCCAGTCATCTATACTTTATTTAAGTATAGATTACTCAGCACACAAATGTTAATGGGAGTTGTATTTTTTTGTGGATTTTACTTTTCATCATTATAAAGTGACCCTCATGGTCAGCCTAGTAATAAGGTGGAGATTATTTGAAGGAACTTAAGGCAGGGAGAAAATTATTAATTATTACAATGATTTTGACATGATAAAGACAATCCAAGGCAGTAGCAGTGAGGATGCGGAAAATGAATCAAACAGAAATGTTATGAAGACAGATTTCATCTTTAGCTTTTCTGAGCATCTAAGAAGTTATAATTTCTTGCTGTAATTATGCTTTCCTCTTGTTCTTGAATTGTCGCCTGTTTATATCCCATATTATTAACGAAATTGTTAGCCCCTACAAGAAGGAAGAATGTTCTTAAAACTTTCTGTATCCTTTAAAGGACCAGCCCACTCCTATACACATACCAGTTTAATTCCTGACATGATTGACTCATTCATTCATTCATTACAATAGGATACTGTTATAAAGCATCCACTCAGGAATAAGGAAATTAGCATTATGTGCTTTCTGCATTAAAGTCATAAGATTAGAAAGAAAGGCAAAAATAACTACATGAGAGGTGTCAACTAAGCCCCAGTGTAAGAGAGGAGCTGTGTTCTGATTTTTACTGGATTACTGCTTCTCACAGAGAACATTCTGCACGTATGATGACAGCCGCAGCATGCAGTAGGGGTAGCAACGGCCATTTTTAAGAAAACTCAGCTACTATTAGAATGACCACAAATTCTAAATCAAATTGCCAATCAACAAGGCTTTACCAACTGTGATGCTGGCAGTTTTTCGTGCCCACCCAATGCCTTGTACTGCCTGGCTCCAGAGGGCAATGGCCAGGGACTCACCAGGTTGTCCAGCATCCTCATGAGGGCTTCAAACTCGTGCTCCCCCAGCCGGCTCTTCTGCATGGGCCCGAAGGTGCTCCCGGCCCACTGCACGGAGCCCACCTCGTGGGGCCTGTGCTTCTCCTGCTCCAAGAGGATGAGGTTCTCCACTCCCCCAGCACTGGACAGGGCTGACACCTGCAGCAAAGAGCAGAGAGCTCTGAGCCCAGGTGCACACGGGGACCCTGCACTTACGTACACTCCTGTATGTAATGGGACGGGGGGTCACAGAGGAGGACTTAGACATCAGAAATGTCTGGGAAACTGAGGAAAAGCCACCCAAACCTGTTGGGCTTGCACCCATTTCCAAGGAAAGGGGTATTAGCAGTGTCTTTCCTGATGTTGGTTCTCAGAGGCTATAGAGAAGAAGGGAATAGCAAGCATTAAACCTTAGGAATAAAACAATAGACAGGACTGGGACATTACCTGGGATACAGATCAACTTAGAATTGTGATTATTTCTGGGGAGGGAGACAGGATGAGACTGGAAAGGGTTCCAAAGGGAACTTCAATTCTTGTTTGTAACATTTTGTTTCTTCAAGAGAAAAAAAGTTGAAGCAAAAAGGCTGTGAATATTTGTTCCATCTGAGTAGTGGGTATGGATGTCTATTATGTTATTCTCTGCATTTTTCTATATGTTTGAAATATTTCCTATTTTTTTTAAGTCACTTGAAAGAAATAGGCCAGCTTCTAAGCCAATGAAAACTGGGCGTAACCTGACGGGCTGGATTAACAGGTCTCGAGGAAGAATGCATCCTCTATGATGGGGTTAGTCAGTCAAGGAAACGCAGAAAAGGAGACGATCAAATGTCGAGAGTGCACAGCGCGGGGCCAGATGTGCAGGGGTTAGATGGCTTCAACCCATAGACTTAGAGCATTTGTCCCCTTGTCAGGGCTCCATGGGGAGGGGATGATGCAGGTGGTTGGTTGCAGGCTTTGAGTATTAGGAAGTGTGTGTATACAGCAGGTGATTTTAGAAGGATTCTAAAAAACATTCATTAATCTAACACATTCCCTTTTTCAATTCCATGCTCATCTCTCAGTATGTTCTATTTACCCCCATGTATCTGCCACTCAGGTGTAATTGGTCAGGGTTTGGCTTCCTGGATAAGCCTGGCTACAGAGCGAGAAGGTGGTTTTGGAGTAGCCTAGGTAGTGGGCCAGGTGTGCAGGTGTGCACTGCACATCATCACATTAGCATTCTGAGTAAGATTTCATATCCCAGGTAATCCTGCTTGTTATGCGGGAACTGCTCCAATTATATAAACTTTTAGTGTTTCAGTGTTTTGTGACAGTTATTTTTTACTGAAAATGAAATGATCTAATTTAGCCTGCTGACAAATACAGGTCTGTGAGCCCCAGAGGGTGGGGACAGACCCTGGAGTGTGTTAAATTTGTCAGTGTTGACAAACGCCCCTGTGTACTTCTCAGAGGTCAGCCCGGCAGCCTTCCCCGGTGACCCCCATCGCCCTGTGAAGAGGAGGAAGTAAGGACATTTTCCATGCCCTTCTCATCCCAGGCACGTGTCCAGTTGCAGGCAGCACACAGTAGTGTTTTAGGGCACAGACCTGGGTGCTGGGCTGCTGGGTTTGAATCCTGCTCTGCCACTTACTGTGTGACTTTGGGCAGCTATTTGCCATCTCTGTGCCTCAGTTTCCTGAAAATAGCAGTATCTACTTCATGAGGAGCATTAAGGTAACAGTTGTAAAGCACTAAGAATAGCATCTGGAACACAGGGAGTGCCTTATAAAGGTTTTTGATAAATGGATTCTGAGCAGCAATATCCCCCAGGACCGGTCATTAACGGAGAAGGCGAGAGCAAGAGAACTGCCCACAACCTTGCAAGAGCTGCCTCCTCCCACCTCCCTCTTCCTCCCTGGTTTCCATGGTGATGGGCAGCAGATGGAGAAGACTGCCTGAGCTCCTTCCCATCTGCCTGTCAGCAGAGCAGGGACCTGCCTCTCTCCACTGGGGATGACCCAGTTTCCTGGAACCCCAAACTGATGCGGAGCAAAGAGAACACCATCCCCAGGAGAACCGAACAGACTCTCCACCTTGAGTCACCAACATGACTACGGTCACGTTTGCTTGTTTGCCAAGGTCACCAAGGGAGAAAACTAGGCCCATGGTGGAAACAGAGCTTCTACGCTGGCCGCTCCCCCCACAACGATTTGACCAGGGCTGCAATCCAAACAGCATCTCAGATTGCTGCTACCTGCGCTCTTCCACGTCCTGATCCCCCCCCGCCTCTGGTCTAATCTTTCCTGTTTTTCTTCCACATCTTCTAGCTCCATTCCTCCCTCTAGAAGCCTCTCTGTTCCACCAGCTGAAAAAAAATGTCACTAGAGCTTTTCTGGGGTTATCTGTCTGGATCTCCTGAGGTACTATAACAGGGTCTCATCAAACCAGTCCTGAGAAGAAAGCGACAGCAGCTGGGGGCTGTCAGGGACAGTGGCCGGCAGCTCTGCCCTTTGCAGATGGCCATTCTACCTTTGGTTAAATCGCAGTGACCTTTCTGGGGGTCTGGATCCTGGGAGAAACGTACTTCCCTTTGTGGGGGGACACATGGGCATCTCTCGCCATCCATTTGTAGGGCTGGGCTGTCTTTGCAAAGAGATGAAGTTTCTACATGAGCTATTTTCTCATGGAAACCTCTTCTCCCGAAGGAAGATGGGGGCTCTTAAGAGTTCAGGTGCGGGGAAGGGACAGTGGCTTCCTTTATAACAGAGGCTCCGCCATGTTCTTGCACCAGTCAGTGGTCGGAGCTCAAGGCCAGCATCCTTGGCTGGACATAGAGGCCACCACTTCAGAGTGGACCCTGCGTCCTGGGTCCACCTTCCCCATGTCACCCTGTTCTGACCACTTCCTCTGACACTTCTTCATCATTACTCTCACAACTGTCCTCTCAACATGTTCCTTTAAAAACTACTGGAGGGTACTCCAGCTTTCTTTTGACAAACAAAACAACAAAACAAAACTATTGAAGGGTACCACTGTGGAGCTCCACTAGTGAGGCTTCTGGGAAGATCTCATTCTTCCCAGACTAACTCCAAGAGAACGGCAGTTCTTCCTCCGGGCGCTGCTGTGCCCGGGCCGGCCAGGAGAGCGCAGACCCGACACCAAAGGGCCCGGCAAAGAGCTGACTCACCCAGGAGCAATCAGCCTCCTCTTCTGTGAATTGAGTCCTAAAAGTACCATCACGATGCCTCTCCTTGTCTGAAAAGCCCTGTCCCCACAGTGGCTCTCGAGGCCCCACATCTACAGTTGAGGGATCAGAGGCTGGAGGAGGGCAAGTTCCCTACCCATGGGCGCACAGCCCAGAGAGGGGATGATGGGGCCCAGCAGCCTGGTTAACAAGCCTTTCCAGGGCACGCAAGGCCCCTGCTCACCCCGGCCACCTGCCACAGCGAAGGGTGTGTGCCTGGCTTGGCCACCACCACCTTGTTTATAAAACTACAGATTTGTCTGTTTTCCTATTGCTTCTCCACCAACTCCTCTAGGGGTTCTGTGACCACGGACATTCCCCGTCTCCCTATCCCTCACCAGTCAGGGGACTGCACAGCAGGCTCCCTGGACCTCACCCGGGGTTGCCCTGGCTGCTCAGGCTGCCCGTCTGTGCCCCATTGGCCTGTTCCCCACTTCTTTCTGGACCTGATCTAATTTAGCCTGCTGACAAATACAGGTCTGTGAGCCCCAGAGGGTGGGGACAGACCCTGGAGTGTGTTAAATTTGTCAGTGTTGACAAACACCCCTGTGTACTTCTCAGAGGTCAGCCCGGCAGCCTTCCCCCGTGACCCCCACCGCCCTGTGAAGAGGAGGAAGTAAGGACATTTTC